GGAGGAGGAGGACGAGGAAGAGGAGGAGGAGAAGGAGGAGGAGGAGGAGGAGGAGCAGGACGAGGACGAGGACGAGGAGGAGGAGGAGGAGGAGGTGGAGGAGGAGGAGGAGGAGGAGGAGAAAAGGGCGCCAGTCCAGCGTAAAACGGAAGAAAGTCTCGGGAGGGAGCGCTGGTTTTGTCGGGACGGGGGCTGTCGGCGACGAGCAAGAGCACCGCCTTGAGTAAAATAGGGAGGAAGTCTCCAGCGGGAGCGTTGTTGTTGCTTGGGGGCGGTGCCGATGAGAGAAAGAGTAGCGCGCCAGTTCAAGGTTAAACGGGAGAAAGTCTCGAGCGGGAGCGCTGGTTTTGTTGAGACGGCTGCTTTCAGCGGCGAGCAAGAGCACCGGCCCTGAGTAAAAAAGGAGGGGGTCTCGAACCGGAGCGTTGTTGTTGTTGTTGTTGTTGTTTGCGGGCCGGTGTTGGCGGTCCCCCAAACCGCTTGAGAGTGAGCCTCATGTTCAATGAAAATGCAGCCAGCGCCTCGGCGAGAGCGCCAGGGAACCTGTAAGGGGTCCAATAATAATTGTTGAGCAGTTTCCATTCAATCATTTCAAGACTGTTCGCTCTGACTGGCACGCGTGTCTTGCATACCGTATACCCCAACCCTCGATGCCAGCCCACTTCGTCTTCGATTGCCACCCCATTCGGGGGGAACTCTTTTCTTTGTCGGCCACTGGCTGACATGCGAAGAAGTCTGGAGCGAGAGCGCCATTCCTGAATTCGTGGGCCTCTCTGGCCAGGAGCTCTCGAAACACCGAAGGAGAAATATCGAACGGGGGCCCCCACCAACTTTTCTGAATTACGGGATAGTCTCGAGCGAGAGCCCCGTTCCTGAGTTCGGGGGCCTTCTCGGCCAGAGGCTTTCGGAGTAGTTTATGAGGAAGTATCGAGCAGGAGCTCTTGTCGTCGTGGTTGGGCCTCCGCAAACTTGACTGAATTGCAAGGAAATCTCGAGCGAAAGCGTCGTTCCTGAGTTCGGGGGCCTCTCTGGCCAGGGTGTCTCGGGGTAAACTGCGCGGAAGTATCGAGCGGGAGCCGGTGTTGTTGTAGTTGGGCGTCCAAGGGCCCACATTTAGGCTCAAGCCAACGCTCGAGCGGGAGCCTCGTGTTCAGAGAAAATATAGCCTGCGTCGAGACGAGAGCGCGCGGAACCGCTTCCGGAGATCATCAATCATTATTCAGAAGTTAGTATTCATCAACAACAATAACAATAACAACAACAACAACAACAACAACAACAACAACAACAACAACAACAACAACAACGACGCAACAAGCATAATCTTCACCACGGATCCTCACTTCAGCCACGCACCCATGGACAATGAATGACCGTTCGCCCCCCTCACTCTGACTGATACCGCTAGTCTTGCCTCGTTTTTGACTTTTCGGCCGCCTGGGAGGCCCTCGTCGCCAATCGCCTCCGCTGGATTCGCCTCGAATTTCTGGTCAGCACGCACCCCAGGAGATGTCCAGAGAGTAGCCATATCGATCCCACTTAGTTCCCCAAAGCAGTGAGAGTTGGGGAGTATGGCTGAAACTGCGTGTGACAGAACATGTGTGCATGTCTTCTGGCCTTCGCGATGCCCTGCAGGGTATTTTGTGGGCCCCCATCAGGGGCTGTCTTGATGCTCCCTTGTGGCCTCTTAGGGCTATTTGGATTCAATTCGGGGGTCCCGGGAGGATGTGGAGTGCATCCGGGCCACGTACAGAGGAAATTGGTTCCAGCTTGGTGGCGGTTGTTGGCCGTATTGGATTCAGTTGGGGGTTGGTTTAGAGTTCAGGGGCCATTTGGGTCATGTTGTGTCCATCGTGAGTTGTTTGGGTACCCTCTGGCAGCTTCCCAGATGATTTCGGCAGCGCCTGCAAGCGATGGCGCGAGATAACACAAGCCATTTGGGCCCCCTGTTGGAACTCGTTCGGCTTTCTTAGGGTCTCGTAGGGTCTTCTTGGTCTTCTTGATGCCTCTTGGGCGTGCGGGGTCCCTTCTGAAGACGTATCCGACAGGTCTCAGAGGATGGGTCTGGAGAGTCTACGGGCCCAGAAGGTGCGTTGGCGAGCTCACAGGCCCCCCCCCCTGAAGAGGACTCTTGAGCCCCCGAGGAGGGGGGAACGGGGGGGGGGGGGACGGCGGGCAGCAGAGCACCCGGCACGCCCGTTCACCCCACGGTGGGCGGTGCCCCCCGCCCGAGCCTCTTCGCCCTCCCGCCGTGGGCGACGTCGGTCCTCCTCCGTCCGAGGAGCGTAACTCAGTTGCGCTGCTTCTTCTGCGGTGAGGTGGGCCACGTGCACAAGGAGTGCAAGAAGGATCCACAGGCGAGGCATTGAATCGTATACTGTATGTAATTTTGCAGTATGGGTAGCCGGAGAGCCTCGGGCATGCGTGACGATAAGCGTCTGGATGATGCCCTCTGGCATCCGAAAATTCGAGAATCAGCATCGATTCCATTCGCTTCACGATGTACCTTTTGTATTACTTAGCAACGTTTTTGCAACACGTTCGATGTATGTCTGCATTGGGCCGTATGCTCCCCGGCGTTATCCTTTTTTGAAGTTCACATGTTGTGCATTGGTGCATCGGTAGTTTATTTCTCTGGGGGATGTTGAACGCATTCTTTGGATCTTGTTGCCAGAGTAAGTGTGGTTGAAGAAGCTGGGCAGCAGAAGTTTGTTGAAGTATGTTTGACGACGTTGAAGACGGGAGGAGGAGGAGGCGAGTAAGGGTGATTTGTACTCTCTCACTCCTAGGAAGAGAAGCATTGACGCACAGTGAGGGGAAGACATGGGGAAAGGCTTGCGCTGCAGCGCAGGTGTGGCAGCCGAAGGTGACGATGACGAACTTTCCAGAGGCCTTCGTGCGGGCATCCTCTGCGTTTGTAATTGTCTCCAAGTGTGTTGTAGAGGTGCTCCAGATCTACTAGAAACACCGCCAAGCAATGTCCGAGTCTTGACTTGCAATAGACTATGGGTATTTCGATTGTGTTTCGCATTAATGGCCGCTTGGGGATCAAATGCGCCGCTTCGCTTTGGACACGGCCAGGTGAACCCTCCAGACCGTCCATTCGGCAGTGGAATGTATTTCTGACATGTTGTTTGCGAGGCTGAACCTCGCGACCACGTCGCGCGCGGTTCCTCCCCCACTGGCCTTGACAGTCGTCCTGGTCCGTCTCGTCCTCGTACTCTGAGTCGAACTCCTTGTCCTTTCCCCGTCCTTGTCCTCTGCCTTGCCACGCCCCTCCTCCTTCCCACCTCCACCTGTAGCATGCCCTCTGGTGTTCTCGCGCTACGTTGCCTCAAACATCATCACGCGACGGTACCATGCCAGACCTGTCCGTGTCCCAACCCCACTTTTCTGTTGCAGCGTGTCTGCCGCAACCTCCTTTGGTCAGGGCACCCTTCGAATTCCCCCCCCTCCGAGCCCCAGATCCGAAGCCGGGCGCCCGCCCGCTCCGCCTCCGCCAAGTCCCCGCCCGGCCGTTGGCGCGCGGGTGCGCTCGCCTCGCCCCGCCCGCCCCGCGGTGCGCCTCCCCGAGGACTGGAAGGCCGAGGGCCTCGAGGCGCTCGCCAAGAAGATCCAGGCTCGGGCGGCGAGGTCTGCACGCATCCGCTGCTGCCTGGCCAGGCCCAGCCTGAGCCCAGGCACTGACGCCACGCCCTCGTGGCCAGGCCAGGAGGGCGTGGCGTGTGCACCGCTGCTGGCTTCCGGCTGGGCATGGCCAGGAAGCAGTGGGCACGCACAGACCTCGCCGCCCTGCCAGGAGGAGCTCGAGATCTTCGGGGTCCTGGAGTTGCCCCCCGAGGCCAGGGGCCCTGCGGGGGGCGCCACGGCCCCGCTCGGAGGCGACGATGGGGGGCGAGTAGTCCAGGGGGGGGGGGCAGGGCATGTTTCGGCGCTCCGATTCGGTTCGATGCGATTTCGACGGATTCCGATTCGATTCGACTTCGGGTCCCGAGTTGGACTGCGATTCCTTAGTGGAGGCATTTTGGTGTCCCCCGGGGGGAGCAGGGCACATTTCGACTCCCATTCGGTTCGATTCGAGTTCGACGGATTCCGATTCGATTCGACTTCGGATTCCGATTCGGATTTCGAAGTCTCAACGCAGGGCCTTGCTACCCAGCCGATCTCCGCCGATTCGACTATTCCCGACTTGGCTGCCGATTTCCGCCGATCCGATTCATGTCTATCGCCGATCCGACTTATCGACTCGATTCTGGGCTCTCCTGGGGGGAGCAGTACATGAGTACCCAGGAGCGCCCAAGGTCCACATCTTTGGCGAGGTTCTCCGGCGAATACTTGTAATGCCCGCCTTTGGGCTATTCGCCCCCATCGTCGCCTGCGACCCGCGCTGGCAACGGCTGCCGCACACGAGCCGCAGCCAGTCCGTGCGCAGCGATGGACTCGTGCCGGGGGATGGGCCGCCCGAGGCTCGCGGCGCGAGGCCGCCCACGGCACCGCCGCGGAGGGCTGGCTGACACGGCCTCGTCCAGGCCTCCAAAATGGGGTCGGAGGATCGTGCCGCATCGCCGATGCATCGCCGATGCGGCTCGATGTGGAGCCCGATTTCTCCACGCCGATGCATCACCGTCATCGCCGATGCATCGTCGATGCATCGGTGATGCATCGACGATGCAGTGCGAGCCTCCGACCCCATCTACTCCGACCCCATCTGGGAGGCTTCTATACCCATTTGGGAGCATTCTCAGCAGGGGGCGGGGACCGCCCGACTCCCCCAGGGTCCGGCGTACTCGGGCAGGGCAGCCTGCCTGCGCACACGAGACTCGGGTGCACTCGGTCGCACCAGCTGTTTGGGAGCGTTCTCAGGTGCAGGAGCGCCCATGACCTGTGGGCCAGGCTGGTGCGGGTGAATGCGTATGTGCAGATCTTGGGCCTAGGGCCTGACGTGAGGTTGGTCCAGCCTCGTGATGGCGCGCAGGCTTATTCGGGGATGCTTGCCGTCATCAACGGCTCACCCAACAGGCACACTGCATCGCGCAGCTCCAGGTCTAGGCTCGATCCTACGTGTTTTGGCTTTGCTTGGAGATCTGAACGGGCCACTGGTCCCCCAAAGTGCACGAACGTACGCATGCTGCCAGAGCCCACCAGGAGTCTGAAACACGTTCTGGACACATTTGTGTACGTTTGTGTGCGTCTGCGAAAACATCTCTTGGGGTGGATGTGAGCATCCCCTTCCTCCTGATGCCAAGACCCCCTTCCTCCCTGTAGTATATTATCTCGGGGAAGACAACTTGGGTTCTTCCCTTGCAAGTACCAAGCATACATACGTATACATATATACATATATATATATATACAGAATGTGTTTCTGCTAGTGCTACTTCGAGTACTTATGATACTGCTACTTCGACCACTATCACGACTTCTACTACTAATACTGCTGCTAATGCTACTATTACTTCTATTATTGTTACGACTACTACTACTACTACTACTACTACTACTATTGCTACTACTACTACTACTACTACTACTACTACTACTACTACAACAACTACTACTACTACTACTACTACTGCTGCTACTACTACTACTACTACTACTACTACCCCTACTACTGGCATTACTACTTCTACTACTACTACTACTACTACGACTACTCCGAGTTACACTGGCACTACTGTTTTTAATATTAGTTGTAGAACTAGTAGTGCTGCCACTACTACCACTACTGCTACTACTACTCGTACTACTACTAAGGCGAGTACTGCTACAACGACGAGTACTACTACTACTACGTTTGCTACTTCTACTGCTGCTACTGCTACTATTACTATTACTACTTCTACTACTACTACGACGACGACTACCACCAGTACCACTACTACTACTACTACTACTACTACTACCACTACTAGTACGACTACGACTACGACTAGTACTACTATCACTACTACGACTACTACCATGACTACCACTACGATTAGTATGATTACTACTACTACCACTATCTCTACCACTACCAGCATTACTTTTACAACTACGACTAGTTCTGCTACTATTTGTATTGTGGCGACTACTACAACTACGACTACTACCACGAATACGGCTACTACGACTACTACCGCTACTACTATTATTACTGCTATTCCTACTGGTACTACTGCTACTACTACTACTACTCCTGCTACAACTAGTGTGGTTAGTATTTCTACTACTACTACTACTACTACTACTACTACTACTACTGGTACTACTACTATCACTACATCCTTTCACTACTACTGCGACTACTACTACTACTACTACTACTACTAATACTACTACTACTACTACTACTACTACTACTACTACGATTACTACTACTGTTACTACTAGTACGACTACTACTACAACTGCGACTACTACTAATACTCCTGCTGCTGCTGGTGCTCCTACTGCTGCTGCTGTTGCTAGTGCTACTGCAGTTGTTGTTGCGACTACGACTACGACGACTACTACTACTACTACTACTACTATTACTTCTACTACTGCTACGACAACTACTACTATTACTACTACTTCTACTACTTCTACTAGCACTACTACTTCTACTACTGCTAGCACTACTACTAGTGCTAGTACTAGTACTACTACTACTACTACTACTACTCCGATTACTAGTACTGCTCGAACTATTAACACTCCTAAAGCTACGACTACTACTACCAATACCTTTTCTCGTGATTGCTCCCTACTGCTACGACTTCTTATCCCTACTACGATCATATTATGTTGATACTACTACTACTACTACTACTACTGCTACTACTATTGCTACCACTACTACTGCTATTCTACCACTACTACGACTACTTTTACGACGTTGCTACTACTTTTACGACGGCTACTACTACGACTATTATGCGAATTGCGCTTGCTTATACTACTACTACCACTACTATTACTACGAGTAGTATTACGATTACGACTACTATCACTACTACGACTACGACTACGACTACTTGTAGTACTATTACTACTACTACTACTACTACTACTACTACTACTGCTACTGCTACTGCTACTGCTACTACTAGTAGGGTCACCCGTCGTCTATGGCCGGCCTGTTTATGGCCGGTAGTTTGGCTGGGTTTCTATACAGGTGTACGAAAACCCGATATAGACTACGCGTCCTTCACACTGGCTTTATGGCCGGCACGCTGTGAGGAATTCTACGGAATTTTCTAAGAATCCTCAGGAATTCTTCAGGAAACCTAGCGAATTCCCTCGGAATCCTAAGGAATTCTTCAGGAATCCCAAGGAATTCCTTAGGAATCCCGAGGGATTCATCAGGAATCCGAAGGCATCCCTGAGGAGTCCTGAGGGATTCTCCAGGAATCCTATGGAAATCTTCGGATGCCTTGAGGAATCTGAAGGAA